TTGGCCACCTGAAGCACAAGTGCTTTTTTTAATCCTGACAAGTTTTGTTTGCTTGACAGAGATTAATTAGGACTAGCTAATTGAAACCAGAATATCTTCAGTCTGCAGAACGTTTTCACATTAAGTCAAACACATATTTTAGATGAAACAACACTACTGCCTGAAGTAAATTATTTTTGAAGCAGGACAGATGTAACCGACTAAACAAGAGATCATTTCTCATGTCTTTGTTGCTTTGTATTGATCATTTTTCATTTGTACAGAACAGTTTAGTGTTGCTTCAGTAGTGAATAACTGCATGTAAAGTAATGCTTTGCCTTGTTTTTATCTGTCTGCAATAGTAGATTCATCCTGTTTCTCTCAGTTCAAGTCACTATAAACTGACAGGATGTGGACCAAATGCTGAAATAGAACGTCTATCAGAAATTAGCATCTGTCATGACAAGAAAATTCTTTCTGGGAGAAATCTTCTGATCAGACTAGACATGTTTATCAGGACTGTCGGAGGAGGGTGCTTTCATGGCTTATAAAACAGAAAACAAAAGATAATGGCTTCAAAGTAAAAGCTCTTTTTTTAAAAAACAAATCAGCATAAATTGGATTTGCATAATGAAATGATAGTTTAAGAATGTTTGAATGGATAAACTGGGTGTTTCAGCAGATTATGGTCCCCATAATTAACAAACCACACCAAGATTTAGCTTTTGGAAATATTTGATTGAATTAACTACTTTATAATAAAAAATTGTAGGATATCCTTAAAAGCTGAGTCAATCAACAGATTTAAATAAGTTGGAGCAAATCTGTCAGCAACAGTAGCCGAACACTCAGACACATCGTGCAAGAATCTTATTGATGGCTTCTTAGCAACTTGCTTAGAAAGGCTTAAACTGAAATTAGTGAGTATATATGCATACATAAGCATGTGTGTATGATTTATGAATAAGAAATCCACCATGAATATAAACTACTGCAGCCGATTCTTGATTTTCAGTTTCACTGAAGATGTGCGATGCAGTGAATTATTGCACTGTAGACTAGTGTTTTGCCATGTTTTTATCCGTTCCCTTTTTTTAGACTATAGGAAAAAGAAAAGGTTACATCCATCATTAGAAACCCAAATGAATATCATATTAAGTCATCATGATAGATAACAAATGCTGTTGAAATATTTCTGAATTATAATTATTTAATTATTCAATTTCAATCATTCAGTGATTACTTATTTACAATTAAATAATTTATTAAATATTAAAACACATAATGATTATAATTTTTTTTATAGAAGGACTAAATTGTTGTGCAAATGAAAGCGCTGTGTGAGTCAAGATTATATATATGAATAAATTACAAAGTCGACCTCAACAATTTTAAACACCTTAAAATGAGCAATATCCAGAAATTCCCCACATGTAAAAGGCTTTCTTGTTCATAAATATCCAATAAAGAAAGGTTTGCATACTTATCACTTACACTTTCTGACTCAACTTGCATTTGGTCATGATCTGTACAGATAGAAATATCGTTCATAACCTGGAGGGCTGAGATAAGTTCAGAGAATTCAGAGCAATGAAGTCTCTGTCTGTGTAAAGCCATAAGACTCACTGTTAGCTTTAACATGTGAAGCGTCAAGAGAAAGAAAAATGACCAAAGGGCCAAGACCTCTGCACTCATTTAGACTCCAACAGTTTCACCTTCTGCTCCACACAGACAGCTCAACATCAGAAGGCCAGGGAGGGCAAATGGCCCAGAGACAGAAGCCAGGGGCAGAATGTCACATCAAACCCTGAACCTCCAGCCAAACCAGTGAGACTCTGTGGGACGTTCAGTCCCAGCTTTAGGAACAAAGGAGAGTGTCTGACACCAGCCAGGCATCCTCCCAGCTTCTGGCTGTACTTCAAGTCTTCTGAGGGCCCTTTAAGGCTTCCCTACATGACCATGTCTTGCCGTTGGCAGTGCTTACAAGATCATCTCGCCTGGGGCCGTCTCCCTGGTCACACAACCCAGCCGAAAGGATTTTCCTCCAAATTAACAGCTCAAGAATAACAATAACAGAAATTGAGATTTTTAACTTTCAATGGGTCGTACAATCATGCAGACAGAAAGTATGCAGACATACAACAGATATAGTGGCATAAGAGACTGGGCAATAAATCTTTTAGTATCCAAGACTTTATGCACACAAGACTCAAAGTATACAAGTTGCTGGACTATTTCTGATGATTAGAGTCCAATATATACTTTGCAAGAAATGTGTTCTCTCTCCCAGGGGTGCAAGAATAACATAAGATCATTCTGTTCTTGCAGTTCTGGCTTGGGAGATTTTGCACCTTCTTTTGGACACAAATGATGTGTCAAAAGAAAACTGAAGGACTTTCCTCTTGTGTGGTATCTGATAATTATGCCATAGTAGATGGGATCTATGAGGAGTCCTTGAGAAGCATGAAATGTCCTGACCAGAACGAGTCTCTGTTCCAGTGGTTAAGGTACAATGAAGAATGGGTAAAACAGTTTCTAGATATTGAAAGGTGCCAAAAAAAGAAATAAAAAAACACACAAACTTTTCATTCCTCACAGTAACAAATATATTTTTGATTTCCAATTTTAAATAGAGAAACATGTTTCCAAATACAAATGTTCAAGATACAATCTACCAACTTTTATTTTTTGTTTTTAGGTTTAATGCATTTTCTTCAAGGTGACATTATTTTTTTATAGAAAATGATACTAGAAAAAAAGGACTGTTTGCAACCTATTAACAAGAGAAAAACAAATATTCCTTGTATGCTACTGGTTAAATTTTTAGCAGAAATGTAATGCATATCTGCATGAAAATGAAAGGAAAACACTGCTAATGCAAGCATTTTAAAACCATGCAGATATTTTAAAATATTGTTCAATTCTTTAACATTTTTGGCCACAATTATTATTACCAACAGCGTAAGGTCTAAAGAACCTTCAAGTCCACAGACTGCAGACCTTTCCACTAGTTAGAGAAGAAGAATAGAAGTATTAAAGTCTGGAAAGTCATCCACATGTTTCTAAATTAAACTTTCTCTTATTTTGTCCATATTTATTAAAACATGGTAAATGAAAAATGAAATGTGAACTTTGTCCTTCAAAGGAAACGTGTAATATTTAAAATATACTCAAATTTTTGAATATCTTGGCACCCTGTAGAAACTCCATAAACACAAAATTCAGAAGATGGTCAGCCCAAGGTTTTAGCATTTCAAAAAAACAGGAGTCACTATTATAACCTTTTGTTCAAACTGTTTTCTTTTGTGCACTATTGATGTTTTCCTTATATAAAGCACTTTAATCCAGACATTTCTTTACAACTATCTTCTACCAGAAATAACTGAAGTATAAAAACAGTGATGACTGAAACAAGAGGGACCCACAAGTAGTGGAATGGTGTTGGAATAGGTTGAGTGGTTCCCACTAGGGTTCAAGTGCTTATAACTTGGCCACTAAAGAGACTGGAAGCAAGCGTGAGATCCCAAAACCAGTAAACCTCCAACACAACACCAAAGAAGTCTTAAAAGAGTCAAACAATGTCCCAGTATGTCGGTGCATTAATGAACTGAATATATGCAAATCAGACAGAGAAGCAAAACACTGTGCATGTTGCTGGGAGCATGTTTGAGCGTGGGTGCTTTTCTGTGGGACTGCGAGAGTCTAAAGGTGGGAAATGGGCAACCTTCTCACCCTTGTTCTGTGTTCCCTCCCCAAGGGAAAATTGGAAGAAGTGGGGAGGTTGCGAGCTAGACGCTGCAATGACAAACACACAAGAAAAGGTATGGGGGAGGGGTAGTAAATGCCAGTGTGAGAGGGTGAAGTGCTGTGGTAACAGCGCAAGTTCTCAGACAAACATTGTGTTCAAAATTCAACACACAGACGCAAACACAACACACCCATGTGCATTCCTTGCACACACTGTCAAACTGAGAAATTGAGCAAAGCGTGAAGCAAACCCAAAGCAAGATGAAAGATAAAAAGATATGACGGTTTGCCATAATCTTCAACAGCACATCAGTCTCCCACGGACAGAAACAATCTCTGGGAACATCTAACATAGAAACCGAGGATGGTGTGAATGAATAAAAGAGAAAGGAATGAATAGTGATGAACTGAATAATGTACAACAATGCTACCCTGAAAAATATGGATTGCAGATTTTAAATAACGTCATAAATTTTGAGTCAAGTTTTGGTATTTTCCCAGAAAATTTGGCTGAAAAAGTCTCACAATGCCCAAGTTCTTTAGGAACTAAAACCCAATTTAACATAGCTACAATAATTAGCATCAAAGGAGAAAAATGGTTCCAGTAGTATGTTAATTAGCACAAGAAAGCAATTTTCCTAAAACAGTTTGTGGTGTGGATTAGCTTTGAGCCCTTCTGCACCTCAAATGTATTCACCCTGTTGGATATTTCATCATTTTTTTTGCTTTTACGAATCAGTAATGATCAACAAAATCTGCCTTTTTTACAAAAATAAATACTAAAAAAATTGTTTATTGTCCAAGTAGAAACTGACTCCTACAAAAATGATGACAAATAAAAATATGCAACATAAAATTAGATTGAATAAGTGATTTCTAATTTATCCAGTCAACATTTTTGTTGATCACGATTAATTTGTGAAAACAATAAAAAGAGAGACATCCAAAGGAGTGATTACTTTTTACGTAAACTGTAACAGAAAAAGCAACCCATTTCAATCTCTTTTTGTGTTTTTATAAATGGGTTTGTACTCCATGAACATGGACATCAGTTGTTGTTTTTTGTCACAGAAATATGTTAATTAAGAAATGCATTTGGAAAGAAAAGATTCTCACAGTCACTGAAACCAGAAGGGGTCAACAAAAGAGGAGAATACTGTAAGGATGTACTTTTTATAAGGGGGTAAAAACAAAATGAAGCAAATTGGATTTATATTCAGAGGTGAGGAGCCTTGAGTTTCTGAAAACACTATGTACATGCTAGTGCAAGATACCTTGTAGCGCATCTTGGGACAGGAGTGAACGTAGAAGCCCAGATAGTAGTAGCACAGCTTGGTGGACTGTTTCTGCAGTTTCCTTGTGAAAGCAATCTCCCTGTAAGGGGAGGGACATAAAAGCACAGTTTGTAAAAACAGTTTTGCGGGAAAAAGCTGCACAGAGATTAATCTTAATTTATTAAACAAAATGTGGTTTTATTTTTTGCATATTATATTTTCTGAATGAAATTAAAATTACCCACATATAGGTTTGCGCCTGACAATGTCAACAGATGATATTAAGATAACAGAAAAAAATAAACGGAGGTGTACATTTACTCCTAACATTAGGAGTATTACGTGAGAATTGTAAGATGGCTTTATGAACAAACCCACTTGTTGACTCCTCCTTACCTGAGGAGTCAACAGGTGAACCTGTAAAATTAAAACTTTTATAACTTTTACTGCCTCCATTTTGATTAAATCTGAAACAGTTTCTTAAAAGTCACAAGCATCTTCTATTGAATTCTATTGAATTTCATATTAATACCATCTTACTGTGCATTGATCCTGATGAATGTTGTTTTCACTGTTTATTTTTGCATTTTAAATCTAGTATAAAATTTATTGTGTTTTATGTAACCAAACGTCCAACTAGGGATATGAACTGCAAATTAGAACATGCTATACATATTCAAGTGTACTTACTTATTTAACATTACTTATCATTTGCCTCTGTAGAAATAAACCAATAAAGTAAAAAAGAAAAACTGTATGAATAACTGCATGATTGTTTTTATGAACATTTGAGAAGCAAGAAAAATACATTTAATTGTGTACCCCATTTGTTAAAGAAAAATGACATTTTCTTAAAAATTAATCTATGAATCATTTGTATATCGAAGAAATTAGAAAACTGAAATGGTTCTAGCAGCTTTGACCAGTACCAAAGCTCAGGATGTAAACACCCATTGCTTTTCTTGGACTCATCTCATCATGGAAAAACAACCACCTTTCCTCTACCAGCATTAACCCCTGGGGAGGAGAAAAGGAACTGAAGAGAGTGTGTAGAATGAAGATTAAGAACCTGCAGGATTTATGCACCACTTTCAAATACAGTAAATGTCTTGCCTGCTTTATTTTTCCACAATAGCTTCCTCCTTAATTGCATCCTTTTACTCAAAGTCTTTTCCCCCTTTCCTTTAGCCATTTCCTCTCCTCTTCCATACCTAAATTCAAGCTTCTCTTTTTGCTCCCTTTTTTGTTTCTCTCTTCCTTCCAGTGCTCTGTGCATCACCCACTAAAAGAAAGGGGAAGCGCTCCTTTTTTTACGATGCTTAAGAGACAGAGAACGAGGCCTTAAAATAAAATAGATGCACTGAAAAATAAGACTTGGGACAAAGGAAGCCAGAGAGAAAGGAGGGGGAGACACAGGGAGTGAGAGAGCAGGAGGAGAATATAAAAGAGAAGGGTCAAGAAAGAGAAAGGGATGGAGAAGAGAGGCAGCGAGAGTGAGGTGCTAGAAGGTCACCCGCTTTCTGCCAGGTTCCTGGGTTCCCATCCCCTTACTACAAAAGGGCCCGGCAGGCCTGAATTAGAGGAGGGGGGTCAAGAGAGGGGAGGCACCCATTCACAAAAAGCCATGTTTCCCCCTTTACTTGAGGCCTTCACACCCCCACCTCCAGCCCCATGGCAGCAGCTTGAGTCTGCCATTATCCCCTCTTCAGCCATCTGACACTCCAGCACAAGCCAATTATCAAGGCCTCTGCTCCTGCACAGCTTCCCTCATACTGATGTGCATATACACACAAAGGGCCTAAAACAGAGCATACCACGAGGAGCTGGCTGCAGATCTGCAGTGCATGCAAAAGCATTTCCTTCTGAAAACTATAAAATATCATCTATCTGCTTCCTGAATCTGAATCATAAAGCGAGAAAAAAGAAATTGGAAAGCACACAGAGGCTATTGTAAACATATCAGTAATTACATTGGAGTCAGTATATCACAAAGTTGTTTTACCTAAATGGAAGCTGTTTTAAATGTGAATTTTGCAAAAGTGAATCTTGCTTTAAAATAACATGTCTTTTAAAACACAGCAATTTTTCACACCACAAGAACCTCAATAAGCAACTTTTTGTTTCTGCTCTTCTCTGTGTCTTTTAGGCCTGAGATACAGTAAGCAAACCTTGTATGTATGAAAGATCTCAGTGTCTCCCCCTTCTGTTTCACAACTGAATTACATGCAAAAAAATGCAAAACAGATCAAATGAACAAGAGCACACCTGACACAGAATATGATTATAGGATAAATAAGCATTTCCTTTTATGAACACCTTTAGTGATTTTTAAATGCTGAGTCAAACAGTATTACAACATCTGGAAAACAATTACTGTGGCTGCACAGATTCTACACTATAAAGTGTTTTTCACAAGTTTTCACCCTCTTACCCAAAAACTTGATGCTATATATGAAATTCAATACACTTGCCTCAAGATGTTACCTTACTAGTAAATAAAGCCCACCTGAGAACAATTCTATCTTAGGATAGCACATCTCTCAGCACTCCATAACCTGTCATGTAAAAATGAAAAGACTGTGGCACTACTGAAAATCCACCCAATCTGAAAGGAGGGAAAGAAGTGGATCAGACACAGAAACAGTTAATGGTAATTATGGAGCAGCTGCAAAGAGCCACAGCTCAGATGAAGAATCTGTCACTGGAAAAAATATAGACACACATTCCACAAATTTGACCTTTGCGGAAGAGTGACGAGAGAAAATGACCCGTTTTAATTTTCTTAAGCCTTTAACTTGACACAACAAACATAAAGAAGACGCTTCTCTAATCAGACAAGACCAAAGTTCAACTGCTTGGTATAGATTCAAAATGCTATGAGTGGAAAAACCTAACACTGCACATCCGGTGCTAATAACACCGGGGAGCATAGTAGCATAAGCACTATGCTGAAGTGGAGGTTGGCCTCCAGCAGAACAGCCTTACACATACAGCCACAGTTACTATGCAAAGGTATAAATGATAGCATATTCATGTGTCAGAATGGACTAATCTAAGTTCAGACATGAATCCATTTCAAATCGGTTTCTCTAAGACTTGGAAATTTGTGAATAGACCCAGCTGTAACTACAGCAAAAAAGATGGCTTAACATATTTAGTCATGGGGCTGAATAGCAAAAATCACACCACACTTTTCAGTTTTATATATACAACGAACTGCAAATCTAGAATGATTTTCCCTTTTTCCCACTTTTTGTTGGTCTAGCACATGAAGTACAATCAAATTTGTGGTAATATCAAAAAGTTCAAGTTGGTATGAATACTTAAGCAAGTCACACTTATGCGTCTACGAGATGTGACACTGAGGCTGACTGAAAGAAGGGTCAGAGTAGACTCTGGTACTCAGATCAATGGCAAAGATGGAGGCTTTTATCAAACTGATGGATCATCAGTGTTACACCCCTAAACTAAAGAAAATGAGTGACAGAGAAGCAGGCAGAACAACCTCTGCAATGTACAGATGAGGCACTACAGTACATTAAATCTGAGGTGTTGTCAGCTGTGGGCTGACAACAGAGAATGAGTGTGTGTACATGGGCTTCCTCGAAGACATACTTAATCAGAATGAGTAAAAAGTGCTTTGGAAAACATGTAAATTCTGTGCAGCAGGCTGTAGAGGCAGTCTGTAAGCCAAGCAGACTCGAGTGTCCAGAGCAGATCAAAAGATCGGACTGGTGTCTGTAAACAAGGGGAAGGATTTCAGTCCCGCTGGCTCCCTCCACACAGAGCTGACTGTGTTACGCTTAGACTCAGGCTCTTAAAATAATAAGTGATGGGAGACTGTGAGATCAGGATGACCACGGAATTACCTCTATGCAGGCAGCAGCAAATATTTTGACCTCTGCTTTGCTGATTTAGTTCAAGATTACATCTGTACCTACGCCCAGACACCCAAAGCTCAGATTGCAACCTCTGAAAATGACGCACACATACCTCTGTCTTCGACCTCTGAGGACAAATATTTTAAAAAGTCTTTCTCACATTATTGAATTACATCTTACAGGAAATGCAGGATGTGTGTGCCTATAGGGTGTGATTGCGTTCTTATATTTCAGCTTGGAGGAGAGAGCTGTCGTCAGCTGAACCACAAACAGAGCACTGCCGCAACCAATCAACTCTGAAGAAAGGGCCTCTTTTTTTGTTTTACCTAAAGCATAACAGAGCCTATGATGTGGGAAACAGTTCAACAGCTCAAATAGAAAAAGAAAAAATTTCAGCTGAAAGGCAGAAGAGAGATCAACAAAAGAAGTTAATCATTTATAACGGCTGGTGTTAAGTTTTTCCTCCGCAAGCAAAGATCTCTCTGTTGTCCAGGAATTACTGACCTGAGAGCAGAGTAGGACCCTAAAGACAGCGATGTAAAGTCTGGGTGGTAGTAGAGGTAGACAGACGACACACATGTCGGCAAGATGTCAATCACTCCCACAGCTACGATGCGTCCATCCAGCCAGTACTGTTGGTGGAAGGAGCCGTATCCCATCTCCGGTCCATCTGGAGAACGTTCTGCCTGGAGAAATAATATCAACAAAAACAGGAATAAAGGAAAGGAACAGATTAATGAAAATAATTTAAGGTCATTGTTCCGCTAGAAAATGAACCTCTATCAGTCCTTAATAACAAAAAACATTTTTTAATAATTTTCTCTACCCAACATGACCAGCTTCCCTGTTCTTTCTTAAGAAAAGCATCCACATAGCATAAAAATGCCACCATATTTCACAGGTGGCTTGTTTAGGAACATGCAAATAGTAATAACTGTTGAGTTACAAATAATTCATTCTGAGCTGTGAATCTTTGCAGCTCCTCCCGAGTTACCATGGTTGCTTCTCTGATTGCTCTCTTTACTCATATTTGTAGGTCTGCAGCTGAGCCATAATCTTTCTATAGAAATATTGAAGGCTCAGGATATTGACAACTTAACCCTACATTGAATTTTCCACAACTTCACCTAACCTGCCTGTTGTGGTCTTAATGATGCCATTCACAAGCTGCATGTGTACTGAGATTGTCTATGTCTACTATATTAAAACCACCAAAACACATTGGATTTTGTGGTTATAATGAAGCAAACTGAAAAAAAACAAAGCTCCAGTGTAAATCTTAAATATATATTCACACATCTGTATTATAACTGCTGCATTTCTCGGCCAAGTCTTGTGCATTATGAGTGGGTGTGTACAGTAGCCTCCCATTTAGCCTGCTAATGGTTCCCAAATGTAGAGTGAAAGCTGGAGCAAGGAGGGGTTGCGGCTGGGTGACGTGAAGGGCTGACCACAGAAACTCTCCAGGAGAGGACTTTTTAATAAAAGAACCTGCGTGAGCAAAACCCATTCCACCAAGCGGTTGTGGCATGCTGCCAAGCTTTCTACTATATATCTGCGTTCACTCATTCCATGTGGCACCGAAGAATGTGGGTGTAGGTGTGCACCCGTGAGCTCGAGTCTACCCTATTAACAAAACGCTTACGTTTTTCACAGACACACTGTTTCTCATAAGAATCTGCATGCTGGGTTTTTCAATCAAACTACTTTTGCGCTTTTATCCCTGCGGCTTAAGACCAGAGGCTTGGGGTTAGGGTTAAAAGTCATGTTAACTTGGAGTATTTATGTGTGTGTGTGTGTGTGTGTGTGTGTGTGTGTGTGTGGTGTGTGTGTGTGTGTGTGTGTGTGTGTGTGCGTCTTTCTTCAGTGCACGAGTAACAGGATCCTGCTCCTGAGCCAACATTCATCTGGACGCAGTTAAGCAGCAGACACTGCCAGTTATCACAACACAGAGAGAGCTGGCTGAGTAATCCGGGGATCCGCTGGGGCCGCATTCTGACCAAATTAAACCTGACCAAACAGAAATAAGACACACAGACTGAAATACACACTCCCAGCAGAGCTGATGGTTTTCTTAGATGTAGCCGGTCACGGGTCTGATCACCTTTATAACACCATTCACACCAGAGTCAGGCACAACTATCTGTTTATAGAGCAGCTTGTTATTTCCAGCCAACAGTTACTCCAAAAACACTGGAGTCTGTGTCAGAGGCCCCACTCGGTCATTTACAAGCTCTAAGTAATGGAAAAGAACACAAACTGGTTTGTTTCGCCTCACCTGGAGTACACACGCCTGTCTGAGCCTGAATGTTATTATAAATACTCATGCACTGTCCACTTCAGATCTCATCTGACTGACCTGCATGGCACCTCAGACGACAGCTTAATAGTCATGTCCTTGCCACTGTGACAACAATCTCAACATTCCCTTGAACACTTCAAACCACCTGCCAGCTTTCCCAGTAGCCCCAAATCACTGACATATGGCCGAAACACAAGAACATGTGGGCAGCATGCAGAACAGAGCGGAGAGGTAGGTGAACACCATGGTGGTTTCAACCTTTTGATTGTGTCCGAAGTAATGTTCAGGGAACAAAAGTAATTTAAAAAACTTTGATAGTGATTGTATTTAATTGAGCTCTGTGCAGTTATAGTGCTTAGTAGCATCTTTATCTTGCAGCCTGGTCATCCCCTTCCTATGCAATTTCACTCGATTCTCATCTCACATCTGTGCTTTTGTTTGAGCTCTTTTCTATTTCACTGGATTCCTTCAGTAGAATTAGCAAACAGAAGTATGAGTTGTGAATAATGATGTTGATTTTATGCAGTGTTTTAGAATTGTGGTCTGTCTGCAGTTCTAGGAATGTATCGTGTGACTATGCTGTCACATTTATATTTTTATAACAGCCTGCTGTATGGTAAACAATGGCTTCATTGGCAGCTAAAACACTGTTTAGATCATCCAAAGTTTAGAAACCACAGGAAAAGTTTGAAACTTATAGGTCTTTATGCCTAAAATCCAGTGAAATGAATGCTTTTAAAGTTTATGATTTTTATCTAAACACAAAAAGTTGTATGTTTAAATTGAATGGAGTACGTCAAAGTATACAACTTTAACATAAACCAATAAAAAGAAATCTTTACTTTTAGATATTTGAATTTTTATGCTACAAAAAGTACGGTCATAATTTGCAAATGTTTCCATACTTAATTTTCTTTTTCATACAGGGTGGTCGAATGTTTTTCAAAGATCTTGTGGAGCTAATTTCTTACTTTAAATACAGTAAATACTTTTATTTCTCATTGAGGTTTCAGGCCATGCTCTACAAAAGTTCCACAAAAACACAGAGGATCTCACTGAACAAACCACTGAGAGGATGATGAATCATCTACTAACCTTAGTATTAAGTGCTCAGACAGACAAATTGAGAAAAAGCTCTAGATAGAGAGCACATAATGCAGGAATTCGAGTTCAGTCCAGCTTATAAAATTTAAGCCACCTCCAGCTTCGCAAAACTCAGCATGACTACTCCTCATTATATTTGAGAGTTGCCACTGTTCCTCTCATGGCACTAATGTAAATGTGCTGTGAAACGAGAGGAAGGAAAGATCCAGGTGTTGTTAAATACCTGGATTTTACCATGAATCCTCTGCAATTCAGAATAAATGAAACACAGCAACAAATAAACACACAGGTCAGACAGCTGCAGCTGCATTTGTGGGGCTGTGCAGTTTTTGCAAACACTTTTAAAGATGCAGGTTTACATGTGAGCTGAACCACACGGTTTGGAGGTCCATGTGGCGAGCGTCTGTGTGTATATGTGTGTGCTCTAATAGCTCTCAGATTAGAGACAGATGGAGAACAACACGCAGAGCAGTGCAGATTTTTATGCATGATAATTCAACACTTGGAGAGAAACGGGAGGAGATGGAGAAGGAGATTGTCGAAAGTAATAAAACCAAGTTGTGCAAGAGGAGGCAAAATGAAAAGGAGATGGCCATTTGGAGGGGAGGAGACAGTCCAGGCAGAAAAATGTGTTAGGCAGCATGCCACTGCGTGAACACGTATCTGTATGTGTGCTGAACTGTGTAATTCAGAGTGCCTGGTCGCCAGCTTTGACGAGGTGATAAAAGCTTGTTTCCTATAAACACTAATGATGTTCATTAGTGAAGACCTGAGGGGCCACACGGGACAAAACGGAGTGACTGTGTTTGTGTCCGTCTGTTTGAATGTGCTTCTGGACGTCAAACCTATTAAAGTGGCTCTAATAAGTACCCGTCTTGGGGTCTAATTGTTGCTGTAATTGTCCTGACCCAACAGGGCCACTGGTGTTTCTCAATGACAGAGCTCACCGGGTCTTTTGTGTGTTCATATCCTGCAATGAAAACACAGAAGCTTAAAACTATGTTCTCTTGAGTAATTTTTCTTCATTTTAAATAACCTAAATAGCTAACTTTTAAAATGAGTAAGATTTTAATTATATATTGACCTTAGAAGCAGACATGGAATATTTTTGGTGCGTAAAGACTGAGCTTGGTAACAATCACAAGTATAGTTGAAAGAATTGAGTTAAGATTTTCAAATGTAGAAACGTTGCACAAACTGTCAAACGTAGTGATGGTTGCATTATGCTGAGGTTGTGTTTCACTGCCAATGGTTATGATTAACAGCATAAAGAAAACAGAATAATGACGGAGGGACTACCTCCAACTTGGACACAACTGAGTGTCCAAGTTTCAACCATTTTGGTCTGGTTACGCTGCAACTTGCTAAATGATATTCCTACAAGTACGTGAGGTGGGTGTGTATCTTTGAGGGTGTGTTTATACTTTTTCTCTTTGGATTAGTGAAAATTCATCATAAACTCAAAATTTTAGACTCAGTTCAAATTTTTAAAAGTAATTAAAGTTGTCTGTGGTACATTAATTCCACAGACACAGGGAGAAGAACAATTAAAATGTGTCTTCAAAAGCCCTAAATTAATATTATATTCTTGCTGACCTCAGTAGACTGCTAGTATTTCCAACGATAACATATTTGGCTAAAATCCTCATATACTTGAGACCCCCACATAGGAATGCTACTAACTGCCTATTTTAGTAGGCAGTTATTAGCCTAAAATATGTCAGCACTACAGAAGAACCTGATAATCAACAGAAACACAAAAACTTAATGGTTTAGGTGCTTTACAAACACAAGTCAAGTGGCATTGCATTTTGGCAACGTATTTCAGCTCTTCAAGTTCCATTTCCTTTCAAATACTTTAAATATGCTCCATGAAAAAAGTCTAACTTCAGAAAGTAAATTGGAGCTATGTTTCACAAAAATCTGAGAATACTGAACTATGAACAGGTCAACTGTATGAGTGCATGTAAAATTATCATTGGCAATGTAATACTTGAAACTGATGGCCATAAAAATCAATGCATTTCTTCATAATTTATGTCTCACAACACAACGTAATGGTAGTGGTATGTTCTTTCTATAAAAGAGCAAAATCTGCTCTGAGGTCCTCAAGTTGAATGCAGTAGTATTCAACTTGTGCAATCTGGAGACCACATTCCCAGTTTTCCTTTCCCCCTTCTACTTAGGTGAGGCTAAAGTAGCACCCCAAATATGCAAAAAATCCCCTTCTTGAATATTTTAACCCCACTCAATCCAGCTGAAGGCTCATTGGGGGAGAGCAAGCAAAGGAAACATATGTGGTAGACCAGGAAAACTGGTGAACAGTTGTTTTCATTAGGATAGTTCTGTTTTTTAATTGAGAAGTGTAAGACCATAAAAAGCATTTAATCTTTGAACACATGGAGCAAATCCTTCCAGACAACACATATGGACAAACACAAACATTTTGAAAAAGGTTTTGTTTAACTGTCAACAAGTTAAAGAAAATACATACCTCTAGTGGTGAATCACAAAGAAATCTCCGGAACTGTGGGGAGAACAGAGAGAAAAGATAGAAACTGTTAGTTCTCTAGGTCACCAACTCTTTTCAATAGGCACAAATGAAAACCATACACATCTCCTTTGCAGTCTTATATTGTTTATCCGTTTCCATTTTCTCCTGGCTCACAGAACCTTCCATTCTGTACAGGCATAAAAGAAGCCTTTATTTACACAAATGAAAACATTTACCCTTTCAGCCAAGACCTGCAGTCTAGGAGAGGACACAATGACAGCTAAAATAAGCAGCGCTGCCAACGTCAGAAATTCATCTCTCAAAGTATGTTAAAACACACAGCAGATAACAATTACAGTGGGGGTCTCTGTGTTTGGAAATAAGCATCTTTGGTCTATTATCTATAATATTTCCTGTGCTTCTTTTTAGCTGAGGAATTGAGAATGGTGTGTTTACAGTAGTATTGGCCTTTGGGCAGGAAAACAAACTCTGCCTCCTTGAAGATTATCCGTTCCAAACCTACAAACATAGCAGTGATGGACAGTTTTCACTTTTATACTGTCGCACTCCATTTCACGAACGCATAATATGTGACTCTTATTTGTTTATTTTCATAATCTAAAGTTTGATGTGTGTTGAGCAGGTCACACAAAAACAACTATAAAAATATAAAACACATGGACAAAAAGGCTGCAGATAAGAGTTTCATAACAGGAGGCATAATTTATGCTCGGTTTCATATTGTCCAAAGCTGTTTCACACACTAAGAGTTTACATAATGACTAAGTTTATTTACTGCCAAAATCCCCAACTCTTCCAAAAGAGAGAGCGTTCCTCCATTTGTCAGCCACAGCTGTTTTGAGCACCAATGACATTGAACAAACTTTATTACTTAATGCTAAGAGGTTATTCTTTTGTCACAGTTTTCCATCATTTCACATTGGTCCATACATGAAGCACATTTTGTGCAAATTTAGATATTGTTACTTAATATGCATGCAGTAATTTGAAAAATTTAGGTTGCAACTTTGTCACTTTTGTGTCACTGCTAGCTTGTTTCTTGATCCACAACTAGTAGCCCTCAATTATCTTGGGCTGCAACTTCAATGTTCTATACATTGAGTGAACCCAAGAGGTCAAACAGTCATTAGCTAAACTAATCACTAAGCATGTTAAAGTCTCCTGTTGTGCCAGATACCGCAAGAATGTGAACATTTATTTTTTGTTTGTTTTTTATTGCTGTAATATTTCCAAAACTACAATACACTTTGATTATTCTAAACTCTACAGGCATAAACTACAAATCGTAACAAACTAAATGCAAGTTTTAAAAGCCATTTAAAGTGTGAGAAGCAAAGGCAAAACTAAACATGCTACAGAGTGCTTTTACACACAACTTCAATGTGTACCACATTAAAAAGACATGAACAAATGAAAGAAACTGCTTAAATGTAAGACAAATATGATTATAATCTGAATTTAATGCACATTAATTTACCAAATATGTCATCCAGGGAAAGTAATTGGCATATTTGTCATATTATTAAACATTAACTGGTGCTTTATAATGTGCATACAAGCCTAATAAGAGTAGTACTCATAGAAAAAAAATGCTGCAAACAACTACTTTTTGAAATGTGGAAACTAATTCTATTGAGTCAGCTTTGCTGTTGTGCAGAAGAGCTCATCAAGATGTAAGTAAAGTGTAATTTTCCTCTCCTGGCTCTGCCAGTCAAATTACTAACTGTAAAACATCCAATGTGCAGCATAGCTGAAAGGCACAAATAAAACATTTGTTAAAACTGGGGGGGAGGGAGGCTGGTTTACCAACAGCAAAACAGCTGCAGTTATTAGATGACATCATTTATTGGGGCCTTACAAAATTACTGGCTACAGTATGTGTGTGAGTGAGACAGAAATACCAAAAATTAATTTGTGGTTGAATACTGTACCGTTTAGTAAGCCACAAGCTAAATGTTAACTATGCATTTAAAACTTTTAATGCATCCAAATGGATATGTGGAATGTGCCTCAGCTCTAAATACCTTTTCTCAGTTTCTCTTCCTCCCCCTCCTCCTTATACCACCTGCAAGGTTAACCCAGAAATGTAAATCTACACTGTCACAGCCACTGCAAGATATGACGTTTATGCAAAGGCAATGTCAACTGGCATGGAGGAAGAAAAGAAGGATTTCTGCATAACTTGAATAGCATCAACTTTTTTTTCTCTGATCAGATACAGAGTCAATCCATGAAGCAGCAGATGGAACATCCTCATGTGCATCCACACATGGAGTCCATCTCTTCCTCTTCAACTCTCCCTTTCTTACAGTAAACACCCATGTGTGTACAATTAAAGCTCGCAAGCAGCCATTGCAAGCACACACGGTTGTGTTCTTGCACACATACAGTACATTTAAACAAACACATCTGCTTCAGCCTAATTGCTACTTCAACCTCTCTCATCAGTGTGATCTTTGTACAGTCAAATTGCTGCACTTATAAGTGACAATATGCCTGTATGAGTTATGTACAGGCATAAGTAGAACTAGTTATGCCAGTACAATCTGTTAATATTTTGTTCTCTTTGGTTACAGCTTTGCTTAACGTATATACAAATAAGTTACAGAGACTTGTAATATCATGCAAAGCTCAGAGAGTGGTAAAAACAAACCAGTGTAGAGTTACAGTGGAAACTTGGTTGCTGAGTTCTGCTGAATGTCCTTATTGTACACCAATGTGTTGAAAATAGTTATTTTTTTCCATTTGTTATTTTACTAATTTTTCCTGCCCAGACATTTTTTTCAGGAGTTTTTGTTTACATCAAATGCAGATGTAGCAGGATTTGTTTTTCTGACAATGATTCCCACATGTGCAGGTACTCAAGAGTCACAGCTCAGTGAAACAGTTAAGACCATTAAGCAACTTACTGTTTGACTTCATGTGTGCATGCATGCCTATCTAAATAATTGCTGGTATGTGCTTCATTTCTGTCAGGAAACTAAAATTAGATGAAGAGGAAATTTTTTTGGCTATTTTCCAGTCATGCCTCGCCAGGAAATGCATACATCCTTATACAAACAAAGCACTTCCCCCTGTTAGGACCTTAAAATTTCTAAATATTGAAAACTTTTGGGTAGGGTTAACTTCACTCAGCACAAACACATAGTTTTTTATTGTCGACTGGCTCAGAACCATATTAATTATAACCAAAAATGCTGTACAAAATGAGACCAATTCTACACTAAATACAAAGCAAGCAAGAAGGCATTGTAGAAAGATTTATTTCATGCTATCTTTTTCAGAATCAAATTACCAGAATTCTCTGTCTATTTCAACAAGACTGAAAATCCAAATCTATGGCAGATATTTGATTTATTTATCCACTTTACTTGTAAATAAAAGCAAACAAAAAGCTGTGAAACATTTCCAGCATTTTTCAGACCGCATACAAATCCTGATAAGCTCTCTATCTAAAAAAAAAAACAGAAATAAAAACTTGGACTTTGATGAGTCAAAAATAAAATCTGTAGATTTTGTAAAACATTGTAAAAAAAAAAAAGGAAAAAAAGAAAAGAAAAAAATTGCTCTGAGTGGCAACTATAACAGATCAAACTGTACAAATTAATAACAGAGCTCAAACAGAAAAACAGCAGGTTTGCATGTTAACACAACATTTTATTCTTGCAGTCTGTTTTGTTTCAGTTCGTCTTATTTGTTACGCTCCAGTTTTACAGCAGGAAGACTTGCAAACACAAATCTGAAGCTCTGCCTTTACCATTTCTGAGAAAAGCGGCATCAGATGTGTATTAACATGCAAAACACATCCCAAAGAACAACAAAACGCATCCATGCTCTTTCAGCATGTACATCCTCCCAAACAGGGCCATTCTCTGTCATAAATTTACTTCACTAGCCTAGCTTGGACCTGGTTCCTACAGATGAAGGAACTAATCTACAAAACTACCTTGATTCTTGGAAAAATATTCCTGCAGTGCAAACACCTTAAAACCTATACATGTCCCATTGAAAGTGGGTCAATATTATGTAAACAGAATGAATCAATAGTCCCCTATAAAAGCTACACCTGAGGAATATAAATGAAGAAGTGTTCTTTAAATGAAATTAACCCAACCATAATTCACCCCATACTTATACCTCTATATTCAGAACATATCCAGCATGGAAAACCAATTAAATGAAAAAGAAAAAAAAAATCAGTGCAAAAAAACCTCCAGGGAGCAGAGTCACTGATGCAGTTCCACACCTTTATGCTACATATATATCGAGCTGCAGCTATTCACACATAATACCTTTTAATAGAGTTAGTGCTATGGCACCAGACAGGAATCTGACACTGTCTGCCCAATCTGACAGCCTTCATTATTTATTAATTACCTTATTTTACAAGCTGTAGAATTTTGTATATTTACCTCAGCCTGTTGGCAGAAGGGTGGAGAGGGCTGTTTTTCCACCCTAGAGGGATAAAAGGCCCACTTAGGTTGGATGGGATTTCTGGATCTTGAGCAAACTTTTAGAATAATTTTACACAGAAATAAATTACATTGTAGCTTACACACCAAATAAGTTACAATATGGTTTTCTGTGTCTTAATTATAAGACACAGTAATGTAATGTGTTGATTGAACTTGAACTGTTTATTTGGTGTCAGCCAGATTTATTGACCCTGATAAATATTTCTAGAGGTCTCTACAGAAATTTAGATTTTACTTAGCATCATAACACACAAAAAGTTTTTTTAGAAAAGTGAAACTTTTGATTTGAGCACATTTTTGCAATGGGGGACAATGTCAAATGTTGGAAAATTACTATTTTTAACAACATTATATGTAACAATTATTAGTTAGTTAAATGCCCTTCAAATTCAATGAAACTGAAACTTTTTTAAATTTAAACTCAGATGTTTTCAGGAACTCATATCAGCATTAACGATTAACAAAATAAAGTCTTGTAAAGAGATTAGGATAGTAAAAACAGTAAAAAAATATTATAAAAAAAAAAGATTATGGTGTTCATAGCAACCATTAGACTATATTTACATGCCAACTGGTTGTTCCGGAGTGATGCTGAAAAAGCCATTATTCTCCTACCATCACAAACTTAGGCATGTGGAAATTGATGAACCTTACCAATTTCCAATTTCAACTGAAAAAAAAAAACATCCCAAAGTCATACATACAAAGATAATAAAGGATGATGATGTGTAACTCTACCAAACCTCATGCCAAATCAACCTGGAAGTTATTCACCAGACACAAAACCAACCTGCTTCCATGCCTACCTCTGAACTAACTCCCATTCCAAACATAGGGATTTTTTCACTACCATTGTAATAATAAATTGGCTGATGTTACAGTATGTTTCAAGATTAGAGATTAATAAATGAATTGGTTTGTAAACATTTTTATGGTGTGATATCTGCAAGAAAGTGCTGAAGGTAAAGTCTCTAACCTCCTTATTACCATCTTGTCAACACAGACTTAACTTGTCATAGCTAATATAATTCTGTATATAGTTGGACCTTATTAAAGTGCCTGTTTATACCAACAATCTGAAATACAAGTAAAAATAAAAATAAGGTAGCAGGATATTGTTAGAAGCATCCACAGTAACCTCCAATTAGGTGAGGGATATTAATCATGCAGTACCTCACTCTCTCTACATTCACTTGGGTCATCACCATGAATGGCCATCTGGTAGCGGGCGTACAGTGCCGCCGATTGTTGATACGATGCAGAGAACTGGGGGTCCTCAAAGTTCACCGGCACTAGCCTCACCTTCAAGCACAAGCCGTGGAGGAGACAAGGTGGAGTGCATTGGGGTTTATGAGGATTGACAATAAATTTGAAGACGATGAACAGTTAGGAAAGATGTTACAAAACAAACAAACAAGGATGAAGGGATGCACAGTTAGCAAATAAGTGCTTTCGTATCTTTAGATATGCAACAATGTCTTAGTGATTGAGCAAGGTGCAAACTTCTACAGAAGCTTGAAAACAAATTCTGAGACTAATGAGAAACTTGAGGATGAGGCTAGTGCACTACTCGGTTTTTCTCTCAAATCGCTTGGAGAAACCCGAGACGCAATATGGTGTCTGTGGTCCAGGACAGCAGAAATTTTAGAGATCACTCCAGACAGACTGAAACATTCTCTTCTTTAATACCAGAGACCCCCATAGTGACCATCAAAAAACATCAAGGTAAGAATAGATGCACTCGGAAAGAAATTAAAACTTGATTGTAGTTTGGATACAAAGGACTTTTAAATAAAGGCACAACGCTTGAGTTACTACCCTGATACAGAAACAGATTTAGACAAACACCACTCTCAACAATGATTTTATTTTTTTTTTAGTTAAAAATATTTAATTCATTGAGTAACAAAAGATATCCAAACCAACTTGGCTGTGTGTGAACAAACATTAGCTGCTTGTGCCACCCCCTGGTTGGTAATAACTGGCTATTTGTTTTTATATGGCAGTAGAGGAATTCTCATTTACAGTTTAAATTCAGCCCGTTAAGGCTGCTTGAGGTGGAACAGGCTGCATAAGGGCATGCTGCTGCATCTCTCTCAGATTTCAGTCAAAACTTTGACTATGTCACTCCAAATCCTTTCAATCTTTGGTCTAGCAGATGCCCTTTAGTCACTGTCATGCTGCATAACCTAAAACCAATTAATGGATTCATCAATTACTACAAATCATACAGGTCCTGAAGTACCTGAGGCACCTATACCTTGGAACTCTCCAATGGATGCTATTTATGGTCTTTTTATTGTTGTTGAATCATAAATGGAGGCAAGTGAAGCCTGCAGAGCTTTAGATGTTCAGAGTTTATATGTGACCTCCTATATGAGGCACTGATATTGATAAAATTACTCCAAAATGTTGGAGTATTTTTGAGAAGTCCTGATATACACACTGTTTAATGTTCCACTGTTTTCTGGAGTCTCGTCTTCTTAATTGCTTTGTAATCTTTTCCCCATATCAAATAACATCTCATCAGTTCTTGAATTTCCTTAAACTGTATGTTGTTTATTTGCTTCTCGATTCTTTTTGTTTTATTTTTATTCAAACTTAATTTAACCAGAAAAGTCTCTTTGAGGTTAAAAACCTCTTTTTCCCAAAGAGTCATGACAAATCCACATGGCAGACAGTGGTTGTGATAAATGAATTTGAGCTCAGCTTTTGTGGGTAATTGAATTTGTGAATTAACAAGGGGATTTTTTTATACTTTTACATAAGGCAAGGTTGGCTTAATAGCTTTTTTTTCCTATTAGAAAAATCCACATTTAAAAACAGTTTTTTGTGTTCAGGTTATTTTTCTCCTAAAAATTGCCTTTCACAAAAAAAAAATGTTTTTCAGTCAGAATTTCTAGAAAAGGTTTTTTAATTTTGTTGATTTCACCTTTTCAAATTTAAATCAAACATTTACATTTTGATAATTTGACAGATCTGAAGTTCTAATTTGTATACACCAAAAGACAAATCTAGAGACGAGCTCCAAATGTATTGCTGAAACTGTCAAGCCCTTTCTGTCCCTCCGTCTCTGGGTAGATGAGGGTTGACCTATGCCCACCACCCGCTGACCTGGCTCTCGGAGGGTTTGTCAGGAGGATCCTTGTGAATGGCCATCTGGTAGAGTTTGTACACCTGGTAGGAGGCGTCGAAAGAAGCTTTGAACTGCGGGCTAGGGGGATTGGAGCGCACTAGCCTCACCTTCAAAAAGAATATCAGCAGACAAGGGTTAACTTCCACACAGAAAAATAAAGAGTGATGAAAAAAAGACATAAGAGGTTATTAAAAGGCAATAAAGGAAAATAAAAAATAAAAAAGCAGGGAAAGTTTGAATGAACAGTTACAGGTAGCAGACTTAACACATTTTTTATAGCAAATGCAACAGTTGTCATGTCAAATTAAAGCATTTCACTTTCAAAACAGAAAATTGCAATGTAATTCTTTTCTGTACAGTTATTGTCAAAAGAAAGCAACCCCCTCTTTAAATTCTAGAGCATCACATATTTTCTATGAAAACATGAAGCGTTTTTGCTGTGCATTTCTGACAAAATCTAATTTCTATGCCAACACATATCTTGATTCGTTCTTAAAAGTTTCCCTTAACAGCTCAACTGAAGTGTTATTCCATCATTAGTGTGTTAACTCTCCGTTTTACAACTCATTGATTAATCAGCTTTTGATGTAGTTCTATACGGTTCCTCATTTTTAAGTTGCTTTAATTAAAAGCAACAGCCGAATGCATAAGCATAAACATTTTCATTTCGATTTCCATTTAACTGTGAGCAGATAGAACTTAAGATGATAAGTAGATTGTTTATATGTCATTAAACGCCAATACAGTCTCTCTATTTAGATTGTCAGGACAAACTCAGTTACATGATCAACCCAATGCCAAATTGCATTACATACCACGTACGACAGGTAGTGAGTCAATGAGGAAGGTAGTGCAGTGAACCCCCAGTGTGCCTCAATTATTTTTGAGCATGTTCATTTTTTATGTTAAAAACTCTAGAACTGCTAAAGAGGGAGGGCTTTTTTTTCTATCAGACTGTACATGTCAGAAAATCATAAATAGAAAAAAAAAGCATGAGCTCAACTCAGTGACTTCACCATGTTGTTCAGTTTTTAATTGAAATCAAAATATGTTTGATGACGGCATGTGACTAACTCTCAACTTACTAATAAGTTGACAAACATCAATTGAATTTATGCAATATCTAGTATTATATTTCTAAATTTGAAACTAAAATGATTAAGAAAAGGCAGTTACTTTCACAATAAGAATTAATTATATGATTATGTTTCACTGTGAATTGATAAAACTATGGTAAATAAATATATGAAAAGCTACTTATACAGCCTCTTTCAAAATAGGAGTTTCTGGTGTCCTAAAGAAAATAACACCCAAATTCAAAATAACTACCATGAGTGAAATATATAATTTTCAAAATGTGCATTTTACAGTGTTTTTATGTTAAAGGGGTTACAATTGAGGCTATTAAAGTTATAATGCAAAATATACCATCTCAATCTAATAATAGAGACATAGTAATCTTGTTCTTTTGTTCATAAACCCAAAGTCATAAAATGAAAGTTAATCCAATAAAACTTTCAAACTAATGTTCTTTAAATAACTGGTTGAGATGAGCAATTTGGTTTAAAAAGAGCATTTTATAGGGAACTCCAAATAATACACCACATTTCCGATTACATTTGTTTCCACAAGAAGCACTTTCAAATCAGAATGCATGATTATTTTAAAATCTGGTCCTGGAATAATAGATCCTGAAATGGAGCATATTTTTGGGTAGGAGTGCTCTGCAACAGAAAGCACAACCTTATAATTCTCAAACAGATAAAATACATGAACATAATGTTCCGTTTTAAAGCTTCAATGGCATAAGACCCTGATGCTGGACTTATAACCTCCATAAAAGTTGTTGCCAAACAATGAGTAATATTTTTTAACACTCTATGATATGCTAACATCCACAACCTATTTTTTGTTGAATCAAAATTACTGAAAAGTTAAATAGAATAAATAGAAAAGAAAAAGAAAATCAGGACAAGATTTTTGGAAAGAGAAGTGTCTGAGTGTTGTTTTCTCAACTTGCAGCTCCCTTTTTTAATTAAGCGCCTCTTCGTTTGGAAGCTTTTGTTGGCCAGAGAGATGCTGCCATATGAATATCTGAGAAGAACAGGATGCAAAACTGAACATGAGGTTTGTTTGGCTTGGATTGAATACTGACTTTCTCATGTGAACATTTGCCATCTTCAACTTGTAGCCAAACCAAAACACTGAGTCTACTGGATATAGAAGCCATATAATTAACTACATCCTTTACTCACATAATCCTAAACATTTATTATTATCAGTCAAAATTAACTTTACTGACAGGGAGAGGTTTTATTTTACAGCATCATATATACTATTGTGAGACTGATGTTTTGTGCATGTATATGGCTGAATATAACAAAATAAAACAGCTATAAATTATCAAAGAGAGATTTTATCAAAAGTGATCAAACTGCGAAGATAGTGAGCAGCTCCGATTATTATGCTGTGGAATGTTCCGCAGTTTCCTTCAGAAGCTAAAAGATCTCTGATGTTGTCATACTGATCCCTGGTGGTGGAAAATAAAACCTCACCAGCTTTTAAGACCTGAAAACAACTAATAGGCTGATTGTAAATCGAAAGTTACATATGTAACTACGGTTCTATGAATCCCGGATGACCGCCAGAGGGCGGTGCTGAAAGCACTGAATGTTCCCTTCGCGCATGCGCGTTTCGAGTAATAATGCCAAAAGAGTCACACCTGTGACATATCGGATGATCAATCAGAGGCTATATAGCATGACGTCATCCGATGCTCTGTTCCTACAGAATCTTCTCGCGAAATGCAAGGATTCTGAGTGACAGAGAAGCTCTGGCGGTCATCCGGGATTCATAGAACCGTAGTTACATATGTAACTTTCGTTCTATTTCATCCCTACTGACCGCCAGAGGGCGGTGCTGAAAGCACTGAATGACGAATACCAGCGATGTCACAAGGAATCCGAGCACGCACCTCACTGAGAAGGCCCAGAAGACCCTTGCAAGAGAACCTGGTCCAGAGGATGAGAGGATGCCACATTCACGTTGTAAAACCTAGTGAATGTGCTCGGAGAAGCCCACGACGCAGCAGCACATATAGCTTCCAGTGGAACTCCTCTCAAGGCGGCCCAGGAGGTGGAAACGCTCCTGGTAGAGTGCGCCGTCA